GGTTGACTCGGTGCTGCCCCCGCTGGAACGTTAGAGGAACTGCAGGCGCTTCCTGTAATGTTTGTGTGATTCTTTGTTTTCAGGCTGAGTCGATTTTCCTGAAGATTCTCCCCGAGGAGGAGTTCTGTCCTCCTGCTCCGAACCCCGAGGACATCATCTACGACGGGGAGAACACCTCCCCCACCTCCACAGGAGAGGAGGAGGGGTTAACAGCAGCAGGGGGGGAGGAGAAACAGCAGGAGGAGGAGACGAGCCTTCAGCCTGAGGAGTAACCTGTAGATATAAAGTGTAAAGACCTCCTGCAGTGCATTGTGGGTAAAAGTTGCCTTTTTTATTTTTCTATGATTTCTGCTGTTTTTCTGTTTTATTTAAAAACTCATTAAAGCCTCAACATGAAGACACGCCTCTGGCTCTGATTGGCTGTCACACAGGACGTCTCTGCCAAAGGCTTCACTCCAGCAGTGAAGCCACGCCCCCACACAGACTGAAGCCGAGCACACCTGAAACAGGAAGTTTACCTGGCAGCTGTGATCAGACTCAGCTGTTGTTGTTTACTGTAACAGCTGTTTGTTTGTAAACTCTGTGAAGCCTTCCAGATGTTTCTGCTCATGTTAATAAGCTCCTCTGTGAAGTCAGCCGGCGTCCCCGAATAAAACGTTTGTACCACATGATGGCGCCTCGTGTTGACCTGTCATTATGAACACGATCATAAACTCAACCAGGTGAGCTGCAGCTTCTGATTGGACTTTGGTCTGAAGGACTGTTTCCTGGATGACCGATCACCACAGAGTAAATGTTCCCATGTTTAACAGCTCTGAGACATTTTATTTTGAAACTTTAGACATACAGGAAGTGTGACCAGCCTAAGGAAAAATTTAGTGTTATTAAAACTTGATGGAAGTCTAAAGCGTGTTGCTTATGAACTCCATGAAGTGCTGCAGAGAAAATTACATTTTATTTATGTAATTAACACATTTTGAACTCTTAAATATAACAAAAGCAAAGCTGAACTAAAATGATCCAGCAAACAAAAACTGTCATATCTCCTTTGGGATTTTGGAGCCTGACTTTTAGAAATAATTGGGGGAAAAAGCTCGATGCTGCTAAAAAATGAAAAATAGATATTTGCAAAAATCTGCCTAAATATGTATTTTACCTGGTTAATGTGTGTGGCGGGGCGTGGTCTGCGGCGCCGCTGCCGGGGAGGCGGATGCACCTGAGCCACACCCGCAATCACGCCTCGCCGCCTTTACGTCTGCGCTCTCTGCTGTTGGTGTGTGTTGGGCTGTGAGCTGCAAAGCTACAGCCGGCTGTGTTAAAAAAAAGTTAAAAAAGAACTAACATAAATAAAATACACTTCAGCTGAATACTTCTCATTTATTTTCCCAAACCACGCGGAGCCGCACTGTAAGGACTAAAGAGCCCCAGGTTGCCGACCCCTGGGTCTAAACCAGGACCAAGTCGAGACAAAAAGGTCTTTCAACTGCAGCCAGATGCTGCTTCGTTTACGGGTGCACAGCCTCCTCACCGCCGTCTGTCTCTCTCACTGAGAGGACAGACGCACGCTCCACTTGACTGTCGCGTCACCTTCTCTGTTTTTCACACAATGACATTATCCTCGCATGTGATTGGCCACAGTATGGAGGGATTGGAGCGTAGCTGAGCCACTGTGTGAGAGCTGAGCAGTGAAAGGAAATGAAGTGAGGGTAGAAATGACTGAAAGATTAATGGGCTCTGCTTCGAGTTTTGTTCAAAAAACAGTGACTTCATATAGGAAATAATATATATCACATCTGCACGACACCTTAAACTAGTTTTTAATAAAGCAGTAAGGCAGAACAAAGTCGGGCTGTATCAGGACACGAGGACTAAACCTCAATTCAACCAGACCCAGAACTGATCCGGAATTAAAACAGGACTACAACAGTTCAAAATCAGGACGACTGAGGATTTAACCAACACAGAACCAGAATCAGAACTAGATGATAGCAGCACTAAAAATCATCTTAGACCTGCACGACACTTATTTTTTAATTCTACCAAAGTACACTATTTAGATTCAGAAACGTTTATATAATTATTTATCCTCGTTGTGCAAACAAGCCTGCAAAACTTAATAAACATAGAATGTAACAAAGTATGTAAAGTAACAAGTGGTATCTAAAAAGTTACACTCGGTACTGGATACATGTTCTGATGAGTTTTGGCAAACAACCATGTGACTAACAGGTGTGTCTCACCTGCTCTTGTTCATCTCTGCTCCTCTCACAGAGAGTTATTACTTAATATATTATCATGCTGTTTACAGCTACATGAATGAACTATTGCTGTGTGATTTATTACTGTTACTGAAGGTTACTCTCCACACCAACACCAGCTAGATGTTTAAATCTGAATATAAATGAGTAACAGTAGGTGGACATTAGGTAAGGCTGCACTTTCTGCAGTGATCTCGTATAGAAACTATTCTGCGCGTATATAAAACAGGTCAGCAGCTCCGAACCGTAGTAAAGGGACCTCTGGCTAATACGTCGGGTTCGTAGCTGAAAACTAGCTTTACTTTGTTGTCTGGGTCAACTTTGTATATATATATTAAATATTTAGATGCTTCCATCTCCCGTTTCTGCTCGGTGACATCTCTTACTTTTCGGCTCTTTTCCTCCCTCCTCGCTCGCAGACACATCACGGGTCCATCCTCCCTGCAGCACGGAGCACGCTGCCCATCAGGCTGCATGCTTTAGGGCGATGCCTGTAACACTGCCTGTTGCCTTCATATTAAATCATTTTTGTGAATAACTTTTTAAACATTTCTTCACGTCATTATGCCGCAAGCAGAGGTGATACGGGCCACGAGATTGAGACACAGACATGAAGGCCTCTT